TCCCCTAGGCGTCCTGCCGGCTATCAATAGTAGGTGTCAACTACAACTGACGGCGTCGGCGTCGTAACATGTTACGAAGGCACTAAATGTTCATAATACTTCATAAATGTCACTTCATAAATGTTCAAATGGATGCTAAATTCGAAATCAGCCCCAAAAACTACCCAAGAAACATGTTAAACTTGAAAAAGTGAACCGAGTTCATCAAAGATCAATGACCTTGACCTAACCTTCACGTGACCTTGACACCCACTGTAATGCATGGGAAGAACATCATTTCACATGTTTGGATGTTTACAATCACAAAAAGACTGGAAACGCGCGGACAATGTGAGCTGACATGCGCTGAATCGCGATTCCGGCCAAACATGGTCTCGAGAAATAGGTCACAGGCCAAAAGTCATTTGGGTCAGGGTCATGATTTTTTTTAGAACGGGTGTAAAATTGATCAACTCGAGGGTACTGAAAGTTTGGTCGCGATCGACCGCTTTTTGCGCGAGCTATACGCGAAAAACCATGGGGTCCATCCGATCCCCCCTCCCCTCCCCTATACACACACGGCTCGGATTGCCTGTTTTTTTTTGTTTTTTGTTAAAAAATAATGGTCTCAGGGCTGTGACGAAAAACAAGTGGCCTAAATCCGGTGAGAAAACAGGATTTGGGGGTACCCTAGGTTTGGCTCCTTCAGTCTCTGCCCCCCCAGTGAAAATTCCTTAGACGAGGCCCTGCGAAGAGCCGCGTGGGGGAGAGGGGGCGTGGCGTGGCAGTGGCTCTCCCCAGCCGTGACCGTCTCTCTGGGCCGGCACTATATAACGGCGGCCCGCGATCAGCGGCGGCACAGCTGCACTCAGCGGCCCAAACAGCCGTCCAAAGCAGCTCCGGCATGGCCTTCAGACAGGTGAGCCGGTACCGCAAAAGCATTTCGCGCCGACTCCAATTGATACTTTATCATCTAGCCTGGCTCTATTTCTGCTACGTCAACGTAACGGCAAATCCAGCACTGAGAACTAATCAATACTGTGTTTTCATTCAGTACCAGGGATCTTACTGCATCTTTACTTCTAAATAAAGTGTACATTTTCCCCAAATCCAAATAACTCCGCCATACCTAATAGCCCTCAAAGCACCATCAAAAGCATCCTCTTACACTGCCGTGCTCCTCAGGTGTGCACGGTGGCCCTCCTGGCCGGCCTTTGCCTGGCCGACGGAGGAGGACATGGCGGAGGAGGATTCTCCGGAGGCGGAGGACATGGCGGAGGAGGATTCTCCGGAGGAGGAGGACATGGCGGGGGAGGATTCTCCGGAGGAGGACATGGTGGAGGAGGATTCTCCGGAGGAGGAGGACATGGCGGAGGCGGCGGAGGCGGCGGTGGATATAGTGGTGGCTCCAGCGTCTCTTCAGGCTACGGAGCTCCCAGCGTCTCTTCAGGGTACGGAGCTCCCAGCAAGGGAAGCGGAGGCGGCGGTGGATACAGCAGTGGAGGAAGCGGAGGCGGCGGTGGATATGGTGGTGGCTCCAGCGTCTCTTCAGGCTACGGAGCTCCCAGCAAGGAAAGCGGAGGCGGCGGTGGATATAGTGGTGGCTCTAGCGTCTCTTCGGGTTACGGAGCTCCCAGCGTCTCTTCAGGGTACGGAGCTCCCAGCAAGGGAAGCGGAGGCGGCGGTGGATATAGTGGTGGCTCTAGCGTCTCTTCGGGTTATGGAGCTCCCAGCGTCTCTTCAGGGTACGGAGCTCCCAGCAAGGGAAGCGGAGGCGGCGGTGGATACAGCAGTGGAGGAAGCGGAGGCGGCGGTGGATATGGTGGTGGCTCCAGCGTCTCTTCAGGCTACGGAGCTCCCAGCAAGGGAAGCGGAGGCGGCGGTGGATACAGCAGTGGAGGAAGCGGAGGCGGCGGTGGATATGGTGGTGGCTCCAGCGTCTCTTCGGGTTACGGAGCTCCCAGTAAGGGAAGCGGAGGCGGCGGTGGATATGGTGGTGGCTCCAGCGTCTCTTCGGGTTACGGAGCTCCCAGCGTCTCTTCAGGCTACGGAGCTCCCAGCAAGGGAAGCGGAGGAGGCGGTGGATACAGCAGTGGAGGAGGCGGAGGCGGCGGTGGATATGGCGGCGGCTCCAGCGTCTCTTCAGGCTACGGAGCTCCCAGCAAGGGAAGCGGAGGCGGCGGTGGATATGGTGGTGGCTCCAGCGTCTCTTCGGGTTACGGAGCTCCCAGCGTCTCTTCAGGCTACGGAGCTCCCAGCAAGGGAAGCGGAGGCGGCGGTGGATACGGTGGTGGCTCCAGCGTCTCTTCAGGCTATGGAGCTCCCAGCAAGGGAAGCGGAGGCGGCGGTGGATATGGTGGTGGCTCCAGCGTCTCTTCAGGCTACGGAGCTCCCAGCGTCTCTTCAGGTTACGGAGCTCCCAGCAAGGGAAGCGGAGGCGGCGGTGGATATGGCGGCGGCTCCAGCGTCTCTTCAGGTTACGGAGCTCCCAGCGTCTCTTCAGGCTACGGAGCTCCCAGCAAGGGAAGCGGAGGAGGCGGTGGATACAGCAGTGGAGGAGGCGGAGGCGGCGGTGGATATGGTGGTAGCTCCAGCGTCTCTTCAGGCTACGGAGCTCCCAGCGTCTCTTCAGGTTACGGAGCTCCCAGCAAAGGAAGCGGAGGCGGCGGTGGATATAGTGGTGGCTCCAGCGTCTCTTCAGGGTACGGAGCTCCCAGCAAGGGAAGCGGAGGCGGCGGTGGATATGGCGGCGGCTCCAGCGTCTCTTCAGGTTACGGAGCTCCCAGCGTCTCTTCAGGCTACGGAGCTCCCAGCAAGGGAAGCGGAGGAGGCGGTGGATACAGCAGTGGAGGAGGCGGAGGCGGCGGTGGATATGGTGGTGGCTCCAGCGTCTCTTCAGGCTACGGAGCTCCCAGCGTCTCTTCAGGTTACGGAGCTCCCAGCAGGGGAAGCGGAGGCGGCGGTGGATATAGTGGTGGCTCCAGCGTCTCTTCAGGGTACGGAGCTCCCAGCAAGGGAAGCGGAGGCGGCGGTGGATATGGTGGCGGCTCCAGCGTCTCTTCAGGTTACAGAGCTCCCAGCGTCTCTTCAGGCTACGAAGCTCCCAGCAAGGGAAGCGGAGGAGGCGGTGGATACAGCAGTGGAGGAGGCGGAGGCGGCGGTGGATATGGTGGTAGCTCCAGCGTCTCTTCAGGCTACGGAGCTCCCAGCGTCTCTTCAGGTTACGGAGCTCCCAGCAAGGGAAGCGGAGGCGGCGGTGGATATGGTGGTGGCTCCAGCGTCTCTTCAGGTTACGGAGCTCCCAGCAAGGGAAGCGGAGGCGGCGGCGGCTACAGCAGTGGAGGAGGCGGAGGCTCCAGTTACGGAAGCATTCCAAGCTCCAGTGGCGGTGGAGGAAAGTACGAGCCAAGGAGGTCATCATCTCACTACTCTGGATAATTTTGCCTACACTATGGTCAGCTCCAGGTCATGAATGAGGAAGGTTCCTAAGGTATTAGCATTTCGCGAAACCTGCTGACTCTTGTCGGCAGATGCAGTTATCAGATAACCGTCAACACCGGCGGAACATTAATAGGCGCTTATGAGACGCATCAAACCGGAGTACCTTTCATACCTTCAGGGAGTGTGTTTTGTCTTTCATGTGTATACTTTATCTTGTTCGGTTAGCGCAAAAATGCAAGGAGCGTAAAAAGTGATGTCGGACTACTTGACTCGATAGCTACAGCTGAGGTGCTCAGGTCCGGTCAGTTATGCATGAGGGATGTTTTGCATGGTGCGTAATTTGTAAATAAACATGACCACAGTAGAACAGTGACGAAAAGATATGTGTCTACGCTGCACTGAACCATCAATGAGCATAGCTAGGTGTGCACAAGATGCGCACAGAGATGACCACCTAGAACAAGTCAAGTAGGGAAGGAGACTGTCTGAGGCTCGTCGAATAGTCCACTCGGAAATCATCCACCGTTCCCTCTGTCTCAACAAAGGAAAGCTGCCGCCCACTTTCTCCTTTCATTCGACGCGTCTTTCGGCAATGAAAACGGCATCCTCGTAGGTATAAGACAATGCTGCCATCGTTTCGGTATGCGCTGCTGTAGCTTGGAAATGCCTGGTTTTGTGACCAACAATTACAGCTTTAGGACCCGGCGTGCGCTGCTTTGTAAACACATCTGATACGCAGGTGTCATGAACAAACACATCAAACGGCTATCAACTCGGCCAAGCTAACGTGCGCGCGCGACCATGGATAAAACGTGCTGTTCAGTTCCGGGGAAAGCACCACGCTCAAATAAAACAGTGATACAATAGAATAGCATAGAGACAGGCCCAAGCATCAGTCGAATCGCCAATTCCCCACACAAGATCTAGGGATCCGGATCCGGCCGTACCTATCTCAGCAGCCAGGTACTTTGTTGTAGAGTATTCGCCGGCGGAGCCAGAGTATACAGAAACAACGCGAAGCCAGCCATCCGGGACGGACAGTCTCGAGAGAGCGGCGACACCCCACGACACGGCAGCGAGGGTGGAACGGGGCGGGGCGGGGCTGCTCCCGAAGGTAGGTAGGTGGCGGCGCGGATGGAGATAGATGAAAGTACCCAGATTGCATGCTATATTTCCGCCATGAAGTGGGTTATTAGCAGTAATGCACAATACTAAATCACGCCCCGTGCCCACATCTATTGAAATTATCATGCGATGGAAGGGCACGCGAGCTCTGTTTACGAGGAAAAGGTGACTGGTGGCCGCCTGTTCAGGAAGTGTTTCAGGAATAAATGCAAAACTCCATCCAAAAACGGATGCAAGGTTGAAGACTCAAGAATGGAACATAGGAAGCATCCTTTCCAATACTTGTGGATGAAGTTATTACGAAGTTAGGTTAAACTCCAACTTTTTAAGATAAGTATCTTTAAAGCGAATCCCAAATGCAGAATGCCGATTGTGCAGTTTGGAAAAAATAGGAACTTAATTTCTTTCCATGAATTGTCTTCTTTAGAACAAAATGGATATGAAAAAGACGTCTCTGTACAATGTAATTATATATTTCGATAATTAAATTAGAAGGCTTAAAGCGCCGCCAGTAAAACGGTGGCCGACACAACATGGCGCCCGTCGGCCGGCCCGGTCGGGCTCGGCGACGGGCGCAACCTCACAACCACAAACACACACGCGCGCGGTAACGGCAGGTGACCGCGGTAATATCGTCCTCTGGGCGGCGGCGGCTGGGCCGGGCCACCGTCGGTGAGCGGTGTTAGCGGGTTAGCCGCTGAGGCAGGCGGACAGCGGACGGCGACACCGGGCGGCCCGCACTGGAATGGCGCCGAGCGCGAGACGGCCGGCCGGCTCAGATCGGAGCTCTGCGGGGCAGCATGGAGTGACGTCTCCGGGCAGAGCGCAGAGTTGAACACGCTCCTCAGTCGGAGAGGAGCTATCGGGCAGTCCGGTTGAGCTGAGCTCTCATGCTGAACCGGCCCTTTGGAATGCAGCGGCGGTCGGCGGTCGACTAGTATTCGTCGTCGCCTGGAGGTGGCGGGACCTCCTCCTCGTCGTCTGGCACGGCGAAACCGTCCTGGGGAGGGTATAATACGGGCCTTAAAAACATCCCGGGGTAACCGCACTGTAGATAGAACACACAACACGACAGGTGTGGAAAGGCTCTTAGTAACTGCACCACACACCGATCAACAAACGGTCCTGAATGAGGAACTACAGAGTTAAACGCACTCAGTTTCGTGATTCTCCTAGCGGAAATCCGCCACCGACGACGCGAATACATTGTGAACTGCATTAATCCTACCCTATATTTGAGACAATTTCAGTTTTCAACCGTCATTTCAGCTTATAGTTTGCCAGTAGCGTATTTACAAATTGCAACCGAGCTCCGCCGTGGGGTAAGGTGGGCAGGGGTTTTCGCACTACGGCTGCGGTTGAACTACCGTCTGTGGTAGAAACTTCAGGATGATGGCGCGTTTCATACGAAATCTGGCGCAATGTTTATTTGCTTCTGAGCTTGTGTTGTTCAAGGCCCTATGTGTTGTTAGTTATTGCTGTCAAGGCTATATAAACCAGGTAGAACGTTCCCGACGAAAAAGTGGTGACAAGCGATAATTAGTAGCCGCGACCCTCACTTGTTCAAAACTATATCCGCAAGCAGCATTTACAGGCTAGCGGAAATCGACCAATCGGCGTTCGGCAATACTCGACGCTGATTGGCCCGATGCTCGTGACGAAATTGCGGGGGACTGTAGCTATTCCCCTATGGCGTTTAATAGGCTTACGGCTTTTGAAGGTGATTTATACCAGTTTTTGTTGGTTTTGAGGCCATTTTTGAGCTTGGATATTCTTTCTGTGACTTTTGACTGTGTAATAATGACATTTAATCATAACATTTCTATTTACTACCGGTGTCACATCGGCCAAAAAGACCGTAAGTACATGGCATAGACGGACCACTGCTGATGGGGCCACACATGCCGGCGTGTGGTCATCGGAGGTCCATGAGGGCTCGACATAGGCCCTTCATGGGTCGGTATAGGCCCGGTGGGTCCAGTGCAAGCCTATCAGGGGCCGGTGCTGACCCAACAGGGCCCAGTGGCATATAATGTAAGGCTGTCTAGGGACGTTGAGGGCTCATGGGGACCATATAGGACCAATAGGGACTACAAAAGTCAATCAGGGGCCATTTAGGCCAATAAAGGCACTTCAGGGGACTTGAAAAGGTCATTCAAGAGCTGCGGTGGGCCCATGAGGGGACGGCACTGGTCCAGCAGGTGCAGTCAGGGGATGTTGTACGGGTTTCTCAGTGGCCCATTTGGGCATATCAGTGACCAATTTGGACCCAGCAGGGGGCTTTGTAGACCCATCAGGGGCTGGTGATGGTTCATCAGGGGCCAGCGTTATAGTCCATCGGGGCACGGCATATGCCCATCAGAGGTAATTGCGAGCCCACGCTGAACAATGATGGCCCTTCAACGGCCCCTAATGAATCTACATTGACCCATGGGCCATAATGTGTCATATATGCCCCTATGACAGGCCTACTCAGACCCCTGATGGACATTCCCGGCGTCTAATGACCCTATACTGAATGCTGATGGGGCTCTAAGTTTCTCCAATAACCCTTCGTCAACCCATTATTACCATACGCTGGCACTAGGGGCCCCACATCAGCCGCAGGGCAGTCCGTGCCATGACAGCATGTCTTTTCGGCCGATATTACATCGGTAATATTTATTAAAATCATGATTTTATGGTGTCATTATATAGCTAACAGTCATAAGAAATATATTTCAACTCGAAAACAGCTCCAAACAGCATATAATTTTAAAGAACCCCCTCCGAAATCCAAAAGCCTATTCGGGTCCATAGAGAATAACTGCGGTCCCCCACAATTTCGTCACGAGCGTCGGACCAATCAGCGTCGAGTACGGCCGAGCGCTGATTGGTGAATTTTCCGCTAGCGTGTAAGTACTGCTCGCGGAACAAGAGTTCGTCGACAATCCTCCACAAACGTCTGTCACCATTTTTCGTAATGCTAAACAGCCGGAGCGTACCCCCCTGATTGCTGTGAACTCTCGAAGTCAAAGTGGGAGTGTTTCAATAACAATTTGTGGATTATTTGGGTTTCTTGATATAAAAATCGCATAATATTATGAAACATTGTGTGGAAACTGCAAATACTGATATAATCATTTGCTTATTTTGGGAATTGATACACATTTTGTAGAGGTTTGTCTGGCAAATGGTTTAACAAACTTCAAGCCTATCATGATTTGAAGCTGTTGTAACAAATCAAAATTGCTTTGATGTTGCATAGTACCTTGTTGGAAAGACTGGAGCATGGTTCAAGATGATGTGTAAAAATTCAAGATTTGTGCAAAAGCTTATGACTGAAGAGCGAAAACAGTTCTATATGATGGCTCAATCAAATGTGGAAATGGACGACAAATGTAGAGTTTCAACATTCCAGCATTTGAGAATAACTTCAGAACTTCATAGTTCTTGTAGCATTGCATTCTTCTTTTGTACAGTTCTAGGTTTTGTTTGGGTATTTCAATTTCAATGTGTCAGTTGAGATATAGGCAGGGTTGGCAAAGTTGCCGCTGATTGGTGTCTCCAGACACTGAGAAATTTTGTACTCAGTACTCATTACTGGAAAATAATGATTATTTTGTTCTCACTTTTCAGGAAATCTACAAGACATCACCAATGAAAACAGCAGTAATACCTAATATAAAGAACAAAGAAAAGAAGCCTTAGCACCGATATGAAGAGTAATAGGATTTACCGTTCCTTGATATTTCATTTTTTGAGCGGTATGATGCTGAAGTGTGAATGCATTGTAATGAGTGGTGACTGGTGACTCTGACTTGTGAAATGTTAATTGAAATCAAATACAAATATATTCATAACTGGAAGCTACGTTGCATGAATAAAGAGGTTTTAAATGGTCATAAAAGTAATCACTCAGTATGGCGTAGGTACCAGCCAAATAATCCATGAATTATAATTGGTAGGTAGGAACCTCAATCTGAATCACAAATGAGCAATGGCAGACGATATCTAAGTTAGATAAAATCACCAGTAGTACCAGCCACTGAATTAGTAGGTTAAAACAAGAATAAGCATTAGCAACCATCAAAACTTACCAAAAGTAAAAACTTGCAATCACTAGCATTAGACGGAGCCTACCACACACTATAAAATTACCATTACCACGCGTCCACAAAACTTTCGAGACAAATACCTAAGATCTGCGTCGTAAATGCCTTGGTGAGATTTCGCCTAGTTGGCAAAATTGACGTTCTTGGGGTCGGAGCCTAAAACCGAGCAATTTTGAGAGTTCATCTTATTCAACAAATTATGAATGTTTAGACAGTAACATGTAACAAAATTGTCAAAAATCAAATCTTCAAAGCCCTAACTAATCATCTTTGGCATTTTATACCCTTTGAAAAAGAAATTGTAGCAAAATTTTCGGTTTTAAAATATCTATTTTTTCACGGTCACAACTTATTCAAACTCCAAAAAAATTTTGAAAACGAAATTAGTTTTTTTATTTTTTTTACTGAAATTCAAAGCAAATTCTTTGTAGATTTAGCACACGGCATTTTGATGTCATTGTATGCATGGTTGATGAGAAAACGTATACTGAGATGGGATCTTCAAATATTTTTGCGCCTCTCCAAATGAAGTCCTTAATTTAGCAGCCGCATCTAGCTTGTATCAGGGCATGAGCCCGCGACCGCCAGGGAAAGAGCGAGGCGAGTACAAGTAAAGGGAGAGGACAGAGGGTGGGGAGCCTGAGGCTCGGCCCGAGGCCAAAGCCCGAGGATATGGAAGCATGGAAGCGACGCAAACAAGCCGGCGCCGGGGGAGGGACACCCCCGCCAGCGAGGGTTCTTTGTCTTGCTGCCGGCGTCGCTCGACGATCATTGCTGAGTGATTTGTTCATTGTTGTAAGTACCTAACTTACCTTGCAGTATGTAGGATATAGGTACCTACGATTTATGAAATCGAAAAGTTGCAATCTCATCCAGTTCGGGTTGGTGTGCAATGTGCTTACATGTAAACCTCGCGACCTGAGAAGGCTAGGATTTGCATGATTTTTAATTCTGACATGTCTTTGTGTTTGTTGTCTGTAATGGTGAACACAGAACGGACATCGGCATCATGATCCATGGGCATCGTTTTCTATAGGCTTGGTAGGGCGCCAGTGCTACCAATAACAATAATTTCAGAATTTTAACATTGACATTAATCTTATGACAGTGCATGGCAATTGGCAAGAATGGCTTTGCTAGACGCTATCCTAAAATTAATAATTAATCTTGCGTACAAATTTGAAAAGTGATGTGATGCCCATGCCATGCTATCTAGTATCTTTGTGTTACTTTATGCCAGACTTACCAAACCAAAACATTCAGGACCACAACCAGTGCTCTTACGCCCTCCCACCCACCCTGTGTTTATAGGGCTACAGATGCAGGGCAAGGTGGCAGCCCAACAACCTCAGCATCAGCAGTAATGAGTCAAAACGTAAGTTTGTTTCCATGATTCTGATAAGCATTATTGACTTTTATGAATGCTATTAGACATTTCCATAGCAAAATGAAATACAAATATGTGGGTCTCAAATTTTTTTCCTCTTTGGATGTCCGGAATTGTATGTTCTCAATTTCTTGGTGTTTTTGTTTATCCAGATAGACTACTGGATCAAGTGTCATTGTTTGTGTTGTGAAAATCAGTAGGTACCTACCTTTTGGTGCTGCTTTTGTAGACGATAATGAAATAGGTACCACTGGGCACCACTCGGTATGAAATTGAGGTGCACTTAATGCTTTTATCAGTTTTATGTGAAATTTGAAAGTTGTTTAGTCTCACATAAATAAGATTTTACTTCACTTTTCCCTTGCAGAGAATCCCATGTGAAATCATCATTGAGTTGTAAGTGATTGCATGTGATGGTAATGATGCCATGATAATTGGGCTTTTTATGATGGTTGGTGGCAGGTTGACATTTGACAGCTGGTGTCAGGTTTGTGTTTCTACTTTATAGCTGGGCTGCAAACATTTATTTGATGCATGTGCTTACTCACTCCTTAAAGTGACCATCCCACCTTAACATAAGATTTGAGTTGAGACAGTGTTTCAAAATTTGTTGATTTGGGTGGGAAGCAACATCCAAATGAAAATTATTTTGCACTCTCACCTACAGTTTTTAAGAACAATTTTGCACTCTCAATTAAACAGAAAAAAGTATTTGCGTGGATGGTCGCTGTTTATCCTGCATTAACACATTTGTATAGAAATGAATGTTATCAATATTAATTATTTGTTCATTCTTTTTGGGCCTATCTGACCAGCGGTTTTCCACCCTCATCCCCGTTTTTTTTAGAGGAATTTCTAACTTCCTATCCCTTTAAATATTTTGATATGAAAACTAGCTTTAACCCTCGCCCGCACATGCCATTTTCCCATCCTAGAACGCACATGGGGGGGTGTGGTTGCCACCCCCCCCCCCGCGCCATTTCGTTCCTGTTGGAGATAGAGCTTCACGGTAAAGATCAAAAAGATTCTTTGGGAAGAGACGAATCCAATGATACCCAGTTTTACCTTCTCAGGTCAGTCATTGACCTTCCAGGTCAGGTCAAACTAAAAAATGTTGCTGTTTTGGGTCACCGTTGGATATCAAGTGCGCTGCTTATCAAATACCGATGACGATGCTGTTTTCTGGTGCCAGGCCAGCTAGAACCTCTTTGTCACACTATCCGACCAGGTTTTTGCTGCTGAGGTCATTTCAGGTCAAGTTAGGTCAAGGTCAATTATATGTGTTGTATGTCTGTGTGTGTCTGTGTGTATACTGATGTGTGCACCGATTGTTTAGGTGTCCATATTACATGAGATCATGAAATGAGAAGCTTTTACCAAAAATACAGTCAAAGAAACTTAACAAAAGTAAATTCAGCTTGCCTAAAACGCAATATTCTTAGATGACCTAGGTTGACCTTGACCCTGACCTTGACATCTGACATCGTCGAACAACATGTTTCATGATAGGTGGGAGGTAAGACTGGCAAAAAAGGCCGAAATCAAGGTGTCAAAAGCTCACAAGACCCATAGCCAACGCAAGATATTGGGTATTTGTCATTTGGGTCATGACATGACCTGAAGAACAAGGTCATATCTCCGAAACCAAAAACCACAGAAACTTGAAATTTTCAGTGGACATCAAGAAAGGATAGGGGAGCAGCTACAGGCTTCTAGCTCTAAAAATGTTGAGTGCAGAGCAGAAAAACTACCTGGGGGGGGGGGTGGCAACCCCCCATGTGCGGGCGAGGGTTAAGGGGCATTGTTGTGGTTCTCTGCTTATTCGACGCTGAGCAGAGGTTGTTGAGTAGACACCACCCCTGCAGTGCCCTGCCCCCCCCCCCACCACCAAACCTTTACGCAGTTGGTTGACCCCCCCCCCCCCATTAGGTGTATATAAAACATTAGTGGATAAGGGGTAAGTGTTAACTTTCTTTTGCAGTAAAACAAAGTACTTTTTCTTTTCAGGTGCATGACGATGAACGTCCGAGACCTGTCGTCAAGAGTAAGGCTAGTAGGAAGTCTTCTGAACGAATACGGTTCGCTACACGCTCACATGTTAAAGGAACAGTAACATGTCATTTATGCCCTAAGTCAATTTCAACAAAGAATTTCCCACGTCATGTGAAATCGAAACATAGAGAAGCTTACTTAGATGCTATGAGAAAAAATCCCCGTGGTGTTACTGGCTATCTCATAGAGAAGGCTATTGTAAAATCTCGTTCTACAAGGGAAAACGATGACAATGAGCCAGTCACTGTCATTATCACTGACAACGAGCCTGACATTACTGCCAATGCCGAAACACCGTTGGGACAGGGATCCCCTAGTGTACTGATACATACTATCGCAAGTGAGAGAAACGATGTCATGACAACTGAGAGAGACTCCGTTCAATCATCATACCACGAGCACCCATCTCCGGATCGAATTAATCAAGTCTGTGATAATTATCCCGGCCGCACGAGCCCCCCCGTAACTGTGACAGATACCACACAAGAACGGGACACAGCGCAGAGCACGTCGACACCGACCGTACGGCTGCAGCAGGCTGAGTGTATAAGTGAAGGTGGTGCTCAGCAGCCAGGTGTCATGGGTGACGATTTGGTTGAATCCCAGATGTTACGAGACATACTGTGTGAAATTCGTATGCTATCTAGGAAAATCGATAGTCACGACTCTGAATTTGTTTCGCGCGCCTCTCTCAGGAAAGAGATGACTGAGCTTGAGAAAAAAATTTCTCCAGGAGCAGCAAAGGCACGAAGTGCTGACACTGCCAAACAGTTTCCATGGCTTCTCACTCGGGGTACAGGCTCAGAGGAATTAGGATTTTGTTCAACGTGCATTGCTAATAAGGCAACTGTTTCGGCCATGCGAGGCCAGCATAAAGCACTGCGTTGGACAACGGAAGGCGTTTCGCTAAAAAAGAATAGACTTGAAATTATCGCTAGGCATGCAGCCACTGCTGTTCATAAGGCATGCATGCAGGTGCCTGAAGAGCGTGACAGAATACAAAGCCTGTTTGGTTTACAGTGCGAGAAGCATAAACGGCTAGATGATAATCTGACAAGGGACATGCTGATGGCTGCATATCATAACCTGCTATTGGGGCATTCTTATGCTGCATTTGAGTCACTTATGAATAGATTGTTCTCAAATATGATGTCTACAAAAGAAACATTCTCACACATTGATTGGAACACAAGTCGTAAGGCTGCTGCCTCTGCAATAGACGTTATATATGAAGTGCTTCGAAAGTCACATTGCAGTTTTTTAAAATCTGTAAATCCGACAACAGGACGTCTAACGTGATCTTCTAATGTCGTGTTATGGGCGCCGATGACCACTGCAGTCCGGACGCCCAAAAACCTCAAACCATCGCCGTCATCATCATCATCATCATCATCATGGCTTCTTATTCTCAGTGGCATTTATGATGGGACCTTTCGTTCAGCTGATGGCTGACCGCCCGGTGACGACCGTTTGTGTAGTGTTGTGCGACTTTGTGAGCCGGCGGTGGCTGTTTTTTATGGTGTAAAGGTTGAAACAGACTCTCCGCAGTCAGGAAATCGCATGCGAGATCCTATTCAAATGCATTAAATCACGCTCGCATCAATCGTACGCACCTCCCGCATACGAATGATGCGGGAAGGATTTTAATGCATTTGAATAGGCTCTCGCGTGCGATTTCCTGACTGCGGAAAGAGTCTGTTTCAGCTTTTATTGAGCTTAGCTGCCCGACGGCGACCGTTTTTGTAGTAGGTACACTGTGGCTGGCTGCCCGATGGCGACCTTTTTTGCTAATAAAGATAAAAAAGAGTTCGTGTCTCAGTATATATTATTATTCGCAATATATACCAGCAGAAGCAACGCAAAGAAGCAATGATTGAAACACGGATCCATCAGGGTACGACGCGATCGTGAGCACTGGCGCAGCGCTGCCTCGCGACTGGACGGCAGCTATCTTATGTCGGCCATAGTTACATAAATCAACCATAGAGTATTACGAAAACTCGGCGTTCGTTGATTAGCTGGATTAAATGTTATAAAGGGTCGTCTTGGTCAGAAGTCCGCATTCGTGGCTCTCAGTCTCTTCTCTTGTTTTCCTGGCTAGATGGCGCTGGTCGGCAGTCTCGTGAGGAATAGTATAGATGTCGCCCGAAGTCAATGCCATGTTCTTTTCTGAAAGAGAGGCAAAGGCTGTCAAGCGTTCGGTGATTAAAGCTAAACAAGTTTATCAAGTTTCCATGGAAACCGAAAGCGCTTTTTATGTTAGTGAGCGCTACTAGCGCGCAGTGAAAGAGAACCCATACCCCTCATGCTCCTCAATGGCGCATTGGCCGCTGTTCAGTGAAGGCGGTGGAACTACAGGCAAAGTGCTCTTCAAAAGGCAGGCGCGTGGTGTTGGTGTGAGGCGCGGGCACGTAAGGCGTATTGGTCGTGTGAAATCAATCAACCACTGCACGTAATTGCCGGTAGGTGCAGTGCTACGTGCGAAACGTCGACGATCAGAAATGTATTCTTTGTGTGTGTGTGTGTAACAAAGAGCAACTTGTTCTGAATTGATTCACGTGAGGCTTCGGCACCTGCTGAGTGCTCGCTGCTCGCTCACTTGCGGACGATTGACTGCTGCCTACTGAGGAATATCTATTTTTATTATTAATCAAATACCTTGTTTTCGCTATCATGTTCATCCAGCTGACCAACTTGTCTTTTATGGGCAAATTCTCAGTAGTGTTGTCAGTAGTGTTTGCAGTGCTGAATTTGTCCTTTTTTATCATACTTAGGTACATCACTTTGAATCATCACTTTTAATATTTGATATGCCGTGACTGCATCATGAAATTTTGTACTCACTTCCCCGAAAATTTGTACTCAGACACCAAGAAAAAAAAAGAGAATTCCCACCCTGGATATAGGTGGATTGCGGACAAATTTTAGAATCATTGCATGGTAGATAGGTACTTGTTCGGTAAAAAGGTATGTGATGAATGCCACAATAATTTTTTTTATGATTAAATATATGTTCATTGTTGTACCTACAAAAATGCAAGCTTACTAGCACCTAGTTATTGAATCTAATCGAAAGTATTTGCTATGAATGTAAATATGTACCTGCAAAGTATGTCAATAAATTTGTGTGATGTTGACCAGAGAGCTGTATCATCTGGGCATTTATGTTGCTTCTTACATTAGGTGTTAAGCATAGTAATTATGGATGAACTTTGTGCCAATATCTTCAATTCACATTTCACAGTGTATGTAGCATGTCTATAACCCTCACTGATCCTGCTATAGCTATAGGCATTTGACTCCAGCAAGACCAAGGGCATCATGGCATGAACTTCACAGTTTCACAACCCTTTTCATGTACCACCACCAGTCACTCTTTTCCTAAAGGTGCACATGACAGTGTACACAATAATGTGCAGAGGGCTTATACAAAAACAACATGATTAGTGTGCACTATGATGCACAGCATTGTACCCTGATTATTTGAATATTCTGATCACTCAACAGTCAGGAGACCATTGTTGAATGTCACATTTATTATACATCACTTGTCAAACAAGAGCATGATGACACACATTTTGACAAGCAATCATGGTAATATTCCAATAAGTTGGACACATCCCTGGGCGTCATTTTCCAGGAAGGTACCTCTGCAGGTGTTGTGGTAGGTTAGGTTGAATTGGGTTAAGTTAGGTGAAGTAAGGCGGTTAGGATCAGCCTGGTCAGACCGTGAGACCTGGTCAGGTTGATTTTAATCTTTCATTCTAATTTGACATAGATACCTATTACCTATGTTCTTGCTCCAGATTGAACTTCATTAGGTAATGAGCTCATTTTGTTTTGTTTTTTATCTGTCTTATTTTGTGTTTTTGTCCCTTATGTTTTGCCCCATAGGCAAGGGTGGAGCTTTTCCAGGGAAGGTGGTGCTGGTGGGGCAAAATGCTGTCAAACCTGCTCGGTTGTTAAGTTAGATTATGTGCAACACTGAATCAATTATTTTAATTACAGAACTAACACTTTGAATTACACAGACATTTCAAAGCTCCTCAATGCGAACAACATAGTGGTTTGCTAAGCAACGAAGTTCTACAAACAAGCAAAAGTTGGAGGGGCAGAACGCTATTTTTTCTCTGACAGCTTCGTAACATGTTACGAAGGCACTAAAACTACTTCAGTACAGGGTGTAACGAAATTATCCGGACATCTATTTTTTCGCCATATCTGTTTGCACAGTTTCCTAATCCTTTCTGATGTTAGAAGTGAGAATATTGGATGAATACGTGCCTCTGCTATCTGTTTTCAACTCAGCAGTGACCTGGCCTTGTCATGTGACTGCTGCTCTGAGTAGGAGTCGATTCACAGACGGGTTCACATGGTAGTTTTCGTCCAAGGCAGTTGCGGGAAAGGGATATAATCTCTCCTTTCGTGGTAAAATTCATGGCGGCATCCACGGCGTCATGAGCCAGAAGCTGGTCTCAAGTGGTCTGCCAGCAGCTGGACATCAGCAGCAGCCAATTGCACATCTGCCTGAGGTGTAATAAGCTGGGACTTCGGTGGCAGACTCAGCCCGGTCGCGACCACAAAAGCCGCCCTTTATCAAGTGGTGAGGAGAGTCATCAAGATAGCGGCAAGGAAACGGCACCAATCAATCCGCAAATTGACTCGAATTCTTACCAAGTCAGATAATAAGAGATCCCATATCATGGTTTACCGCTACCCGCCCTTTAACTTGGTTCTAGTGCCCTTCCAACTGAAAAAGACAACGAAACTGACGGGAAAACAACCAGTTCACCACCTTTTGCCTCACGCCAGATCGCGTCCACTGGTCGAAGAATGATAAGGGTGAGGTGGTCTGGTTGGATGGGTAGCCGTTCGAGCTGTATTATCCTTTGAACCGTCAAATCGGTCATGTATGGGCGGCCAGCCGCTCGAACTTGCTGGCCTTCGCCGCCGTCAAACATCCGGACAATATCCAGAACTGGAGCATGTTCAGCTGCCTAGCGATCCTCCAATAGGACATAATGTCACATAATACCGCCATCAACGTCATGTATTACCGGAGAAACATACTGGCCAATGAATAGTCGGAGGCGCTCAACCAGACGGTATAGGAGGGCTCGGTTTCTTAACGCGCACTGATGCCTGATTCAAGCCACGCTGTCTTCATGCGGGGCGGCGCGCTACTTTAAGTCCCTAAAAGAACGGGAAGTGATGCCGATAGAACCTTCAATCATTCTGGGCTAACGCTTATGACTTGGAAAAAGTCGCAATCCCAATTCAATCGAAAACCTGTGGGCTCTTGTTCAGCAGGTGACTGAAGAGACGCCCGCCACAAGCACCGCCCAACCCGAAGGTTTAGACGGCGTTGGTCCGCATCAAAGCCAGTGTGCTGGAGAATCCATTGGCTGAAATGCTCCAATGACATTCGCCACTGTGTTTTTATGAAAGGTGGCTACATGCTCAGTCAAAATAAAAAGTATCAGAATGTTTTGCTTTTTAACCCTCGCATGTGTGCGGCGTTTTCCAGCTTCTAATGTGTAGGGGGGGGGGGTCGGTTGGACCCCCCCCCTTGCCGTTTGGCCCCTGATCGAGCTAGAGCTTCGCGGAAAAAACGAGCGTGTTGCCCGTGACGAGAGGAAGCCAATGATACCCAATTTTAAGGTCCTAGGTCATTGGTTGACCTTCCAGGTCAGGTCAATGACCCAAAGTCGGGAAAATCGGGACCTATTAGAAAGTCGTAAAGTGTGGCTGCTAAGGGGTTTTTCGGGGTGCTGATCACGAATATCGTGTTAGTTTTGATCACAGATGATGTCTTTAAGCATTTAGACCAGGTCGGGTCAGGTCAGGTCAGGTCAATCAGTAGGCGTCGTGACGGGTATTCGTAGTACGTGTCAACCGCCTCTGACAGCTTCGTAACATGTTACGAAGGCACCAAAACTACTTCGTAAATGTTCAAATGGTTGCTAAATTCGAATTCAGCTCCAAAAACTAGCCTAGAAACATGTAAAACTCGAAAAAGTGAACCGAGGTCACCCGAGGTCACCAAAGGTCAATGACCTGACCTGACCTTCAGGTGACCTTGACACCCACCCTAATGCATGGGAGCAACATCAAATCACATGTTTGAACGTTTGAAACCACGAAAAGCTTGCAAACGCGCGGCTAATGCGAGCCGATGTACGCCGAATCGCGATTCCGGCCAAACATGGTCTCGGAAAAGAGGTCACAGGTCAAAGGTCATTTGGGTCAGGGTCATGAAATTTTCAGGGTAGGTGTCAAATTGATCAATGCGAGGGTACTGAAAGTTTCGTCGCGATCGGCCGCTTTTTACGCGAGTTATTCGCGAAAAACCATGGGGGGGTCCATCCGACCCCCCCCCCTACACATGCGAGGGTTAATTACAGCGGGAAGAAAGATGACCGGATAATTTTGTTACACCCCCTGTCATGTTCAAATGGTTGCTAAATTCGGAATCAGCTCCAAAAACTAGCCTAGAAACATGTTAAACTCGAAAAAGTGAACCGAGGTCATCAAAGGTCATTGTCATTGAGCTGACCTGACCTTCATGTGACACCCACCCTAATGCATGGGACCAGCATCATATCACATGTTTCAACGCTTGAAACCACGTAAAGACTGCAAACGCGCGGCTAATGCGAGCCGACATACGCCGAATCGCGATTCTGGCCAAACATGGTCTCGAGAAATAGGTCACAGGTCAAAGGTCATTTGGGTCAGGGTCATGAAATTTTCAGGGTAGAAGTAAAATTGATAAAATCGGGGGTATTGAAAGTTTCGTCGCGATCGGACGGTTTTTACGCGAGTTACTCACGAAAAACCGATGGGGTACGCTCAACGCCTCCCCCTATACGGGCGAGGGAAAAGCGCAACCAAAAAGGCAAAAATATGCACATGCGATAACCTATACTGCGAAAAAAGGTGCATCATTTTTTAACGTCGCCGACAAATTGTAACTACCCCAAGCTCAGGCAGATGTATGGTAGAAAATACCCCAACTGAAATACACTACGGCGGAAATAAAATACCCTACGGCGGAGCTCGGTTGCAATTTGTAAATACGCTTGCCAGTAACTGCCTCGTCTCCCTTGCGTCATAAATGTCGTAGAAGCATTCGCTGGGTACGTACCGCTGTGGCGTACAATATGGCGAGGATCCTCTGGATGAGGTCGCTGTTGGTGCCTTCTTCCTCTTGGCAGATGACTTCAATGTCCCTCAGCTTGCCGAAGTAAAAGTCTCGCTCCTTTTCCAAGTCCTCCAAGGTCAGTTGCATCGTCTGGACTTGTGTCGTCAGCTCGTCCACCTGGAAACAATGCAAAATTGCTGAGCTGCCAGAGAGGTTAAAGGCCTCGACAGACCGTTACCCCCGGGACAAGTACCAGACACAAATGGATAAAACGGAAAAGGGCAAACTCAAACAGTCGTTAATAATAACCTGCACAATACTGCATTCTTCAAGCTCCTAGACAACTTTGTGTAATTCGTAAAGAGGCATCCGCCTTACGTAAAAAACGCCCTCTTTTAAACACAAACTCGAAGACCGCACCTTCAAGGCCTGGAATGAAGGCGCATCACTCACACGCCGCATCCTCCAATAGAGACTCAACAAACCTGTTGTAAGTATTGCCCTGATTATACCTATCCTCCTATCCCTAGCTCCGCTATCCCGGCCCAGTACCAGTACCTCTCCGTCCCTCTAGCGTCACCCACCTCGGCCTGTCGGCTGTCTCCGGCGGCTGACCTGGCGGCAGGAGCCGCGCGAGGCGCTGCAGGTCGAGCGGCCGGCGCCGACCGGGCCGCCGGGGCTGCTGCTGCGGAACGACAATCGGTCACAGACAGGGAAGGGGAGGGGGCGAGACGGCACGCGAGACAGGCATCCAATTCGGGCAGCGGGTCTGACTTGCCACGCAAGCACTGCAGCGCTTGGTCGCTATGGGCATGGTGACTACATAAACAACAGCGCTGAGCTATGGGCCAGGACTGTGAACGTACCATTTTTAACCTTGCAAGAACATATAAACAAAACAGAGCGAATGTGGAGGACTACATTTTAATTTAATTCTTGTTAGATAATGGCCATAATGGCGTAAATTCATTTTCATAGTTTTTATCCAGAACACAATGAGGCTAATAGGTGCTGTGCAAACACGCATCGGCACACACACAAAACGTATACAAATATAACTACCTGGCAGTGTCTACAAAATGTGACTGCAAGAAGAACAAACATGTATTAGCTCCAAATCTACAAACATGTTGAGAGAACGGCCAATACCAAGGTACCTTAACCCGCGAGTTGCTGGGGGGCGTTAAACGCCCCCACTTTTTTCGCCGGGCCATAGCATAAAAACGGCGCGCCGCAGGCGCCCCAAATTTGGGTACCTATAGGGAATTGATTGAAGTTTATTGTGACAAAGTTTCAAAAAAATCAGTCGGAAAATTTTTGAGATATCGAGGTTTTAGTGACGTCATGATTTCTGAGTTAGACATGCCGTAAACGCCATTAGACTGCCAATACCATGAACAATCAGATGGCTATCTTCGATATTGATTATCGTCCGCATTTCCAAAA